ATATATATATATATATATATATGAGGAGAATTATAATAACACCAATGTAATTTTAAATATAAATTATATTTAGATTTATAATAAATAATTTATATTGTAACAAAAATACTTTTCTTATCGATAATTTATTTTAAAATATTAAATTTAATTTATATATAATTTTTATAAATAAAATAAAAATTAAATCAAATAAGAAGTTTAAAAAATTCTTAAAATCTCTATTGCTGAAGAAAAATATTTCAAAACACTCTAGTTAAAAGAAAGAAAAAAAAACTCCTAAAAATGTTTTCATATAAGATAGTAAATATAGGGGTGAATAAAATTATGGTTCAAGTTAACTAATCACAAAAGACTAAGGGAGTTAATTTTTTTTTCTTTTCAAAAACGTAGGAATAACTTTGTTTCTAAGAAAATTGACGATAGAAACACATTGTGTTTTTCTTAGTGTTTTAGCCTTTAAAAGAAACAACCACAAAATAAATCATACTATCTTTTGCTTTCAAAGAACAAAGGGAAAATGTATACTAAACCTAAAAAAACAACAGTAAAATACACCTTGCCAGCAGCATCTGAGCAAGCCATCCCCCAACAAAATTTTCCTGATTTTCGGTATTTCCTAAAAATTCCTCCCTTTACTCGTCGCAGGTTGCCACAAAATTCCACGCATTATAAAATAAAACAAAATAATATTATCTTCTAAAAAACCCCAAGTGAAATAGAAACTACATACGCAGCAACAACACAAGTGTGGAGCACAGGGGTGGTCTACAGAGTCATTGGCAAGTTCAACAGTAAACCTTGTGCAGTCCAATGTTAAGATCAGATGATATGGAAATGACAAGAGGAATAGACTGAAGCCACATGGCTTTGAAGACTCGTTTCTGATGCGCTCTTATAGATTGGGAAGGCTTGTGAGCAGTGTACCTTATATCAAATATGTGAATCACAGGATCTGCAGAACCAGATGTTATATAAAGTCCATCAGGAGACCAAGCCTGATTTATCAGAGCCGATTGAGATTCACTGCTTTCTTGCTTCCATCCAAAAGCATGAAGCTCTGTATTCCTCAATCTAATATCAAATAATCGAAGCTGCTTCTCATGGGTCCTGATACATTGAAAAATAGTTAGTATACTATAACCCCAAATGCAACAAAAGAATACCAAGGAAACACAATACAAGAGAGCTTTTTGTCTAGAAAGGAAGCAAGATCAACAAAATATTATTATGTTCCCATCTTGAAGGCAGATTCTTGTACCGAATTCAATGTACAAGATATCAATCAAAGCTATCGGAAAGTAGCTTATCAGTTATCACTTTAAAACATTCCTACCAAGAACATGAATAACAGAAGGGAATTTCTGGCTCTTAAATAGAACAGCTAAAATGTGCACTCTTCCTCACATTCAACCTTGAGAGTGGATCTATCATCTACCGGAGAAGTTTGAGAGATGCACTTGCCAAATAATGGGCCAGTTAGCTTAACTTTTATCCTCAATCACAAAGCATAAGGCAAGTCTAAATGTCACTGGTGCATAAAAGATTATCTCATCTTAATATTTCAATATTTCATGAATAAAGCCCAAGTCCATAGGCCAAGGAAGAGCACTACAAACCACAAAAACCTTCCTCACCAGTATGTAAAAATATTTTTGTCTTTCATAAAGACTTCATTCCTTCCAAAGAGATGCACAATAACATAGAATGGTGGTCCTCGGAGTTTTAGGTTTGTAAGAACCAAACCACAATCCTTTTTGGTCCCATTTCCGTAAAGTGCACAGATTCACAACATAAGCAATTCCAGAAAGTGCACAGACTCACAACATAAGCAATGGGAATAGTTTTATCGAACTTTAGCAAAGAGTAATAATGCAAGCAATTTCATCAGGGGGTCCAAAATTTAAACCATAACTTACTACTGTTTTCAAATGAACTATTTAATTTTCCCTGAAACCAAACATGCAAGACTCAACATTGAAATTTGAGGAGGGGTGTTATAAACTCTGCACAATACAGCTAAACTTGTGGTGGGAACTAAAGAAACACAGTTAAAAAAGTGAACTCCAAAGCAGCTGCAATTTACCCTGTTTGAACCATGAATAAATTGAAGTCACGTGGATTGGGCAGGACACTCATGCATTTACTATCAACCTGATGCTTGAAATCTGCTCTTCCTACACGAACATCATACCCAAATATTCTCCTGTCTGCACCAACAGACAACACCACCTGCTTCTGCTGCATACCAGCAACTCCCATGACAGCAGAAGAGTGAAGGTTCCTGTGCAATGCTTTTGGCTTCCACTTGTTCTCACCATCCTGCTCACTCCAAAGTACAACAGCATGGTCACTTCCAGCAGTTACAAAACATGTATTTTCCCAGGGCATAAAAACAATGCCATTGATAATTCCCTTAACATGAGGCTTGTCCTCTAAGAATTTTACACGATCTCCCTGTCAGTAACAAACAAGTTTTTCATATATCAATAGCAAAAAAAAAAAATAATAATAAAGAAACCCAAAAACAGTTTTACTTTTATGCCAGGATATTTGTGTCAAAAGCCTTACCCCTTGTCCTTTATTCAGATTTGTAATTGATACTTGAGAGTCTCCACTATCAGCACTGTATACTGAAAATAGACTGTTTCCTTCTGGGTGCCAGACTAAATCTTCTGGCCATCTCCTCTGCTTTTGGGATGCACAATCAGTAGTGCTAAGACGAGAGGCTCCTGCTCTACAAAATTAAAGTTGAGGAGAAAAAAAAAGTAAATTAGACAACATAATTAGGTTATCTTTAAAACATTTTGAAGTTCAGGTACAATAATGTTTCCACTCCAATACATCACATAAACTGAGGCAGAGACTGCCAATGGTAGGGGAAAGAATCATCAAATAGTCAAGTTTACAGTTAAATGGGGGAAAAAAACAAGAGATAACAGAGGAGAACGAAATTTAAGAAATATTCTGAAGTTCAAAGTCATAAAGTTTTCTAGTCCAAAACTTGAGTGGAAGCCTGATACAGATAATAGACCGTCAGTAAATGAAATGTAGCATAGAAAGATTTATCATTGTTAAAAAACCAGAGAATTATTGGTCAAACTCCTCTTTCAGATATTATATTTGGTTTAAGTCTATTTATAATCAACATCATCACAAAATATAAGAATAAAAACTATCCAAAGTGTTGCCAGAAAGATAAACTAGGACATACCCCTTAGCCTGAACTTGCCACAAGTTGACCACTCCATCCAGAGCACTGCAAGAATTCCCAAAAGGTAGTGTGTCAGACTTGAAAGAATATATCAATGTTGTATCACAAGGAAGATATCTTACATATGAGAGAAATTCAAACTGATGACGACAAAAACTAACTCAAGTTTACATAGTCAAATATCTAACAATTAAATAAGAATTATTGTCTTGAACCACTAAACATTATGTCAGATAAAGACAAAAAAGCCTTTTACCAGTGTTTTAAATCCTGTATAGCAGTGCGTAGTGTAATGTTATCAATTGTGGATTAACAACACTGGCGATAGCCACTATTCTGAAAATTTTTTTATATTTTTATATAATGTATAGTGTTATATTATATACATATAAATTCTCAAAAAAGATTAAAAAAAATACTCAAAATTCAAGACATTTATTTATATTCATTCAAATTAACAAAAAAAAGTCAATGGTGTCTTTAAATATACAAGTAAATACTAAAAGTCAAATACAAGGTTCCCAAATAGGAATCATCAATCCATGTCTAATTCTTTAACATTTTTACTACTGTATTACAACTGTATATTGTGAGTTATGTATAGGATGGGATGTTGGATTAATTTGTGTATTTCATAATTTATTTTAATTTGTAAACTTTTCTGAAAAGTCGAAAAATCAATTAAATTCAAACCAAAACAAATTGGATTAAATTTGATTTTAAAATCAAGCAACTGGATGGTCAACAAACAAAACCAAACTAATTGAATTGGATGATTTTTCTACTCAAAACTGATCCAATCTGCAAACACCCATGGTTTCTAAGAATGATAAAATTTGGGTGGTACAGGAGTCCACACTTCTGCATAAAATTTGACAGCAAAGTACACTCACAGACTCAAAATTGGCATATACCTTCCTAGCTACTACTTCCTTATATCACTTTAGTTTGATGAATGGATTTTAAGAAACAGGCTAAAATAGAAGAATCAGAAACAAAAATATATTCAAGAAATATTGCAAAACACCAGAGGCCTTGCTGTGGCAGTCATGTATTTTTTTTTTTTTTACATAAAAGTTTAAAGACCAAAGGGGCACAAACTTAAATCTCAGAACTTATAGATGACCATTAAAATTTCTAAATTTCACTTGCAGCCTGCAGGGTAGATTTATGGGCATTTTATGTTGACCTATTCCCAAACGTTATAAGCCTAGATAAGGATCCATCATATTGAAATTTAACAATTTAGGGTACCAGTTGATAACATTTGACCCCATACCTGCTGTGGCCAAAAACTGGGAGAAGAAAAGTGATAGGTAAAACATATTGTTAAAAGCTAGTTTTTTTAGAAATGAAATGAATCCATTACCTGGTCACAAAAAGCTGATCATTCACGGGACACAAAGCAATACTCCGCAATTTCCTCTTGTGTTGACTTGAGATGTGGTTGCTTGTTTGACAGTGTACCAAGCTTGGTGAAGAACTCTTGCGTATTAAAGGAATCAATTCCTTGTGTTCTTTTTGTTCTAGAAAGCACACAAAAATCTTAAGAAGCTTAATTACAAGCTAAAGCAATCTTGACATGAAAAGAACAGTAATAAGCCAATAACTGAAAATAAACCCTGACAGAAGCAGGTGACCTAAAATGCATTAGCCAAATCTATGTAAAAGCAACAATGAAGGCTATAGTTGAGATAAATGACTTACCAAACTTCCTTTTTGTCCCTTTGTCCTTGTTTTCAGAATTTTGCTGCTCCGAAGAAAGTCTATGACCATGAGACTTGTCAGGTTTTCCCCTAGAGCTACCACCAGTGATTGGAGAATTATGGACTCCTGGAGTGGCTTCAGAACTGGAACTTATTGAAGCTTTTGCAGAAGACCTTGGCAACAGTACAGGTTGTGAAATTTTTGGATTCACTGAAGGAATAACAAGTTCTGTTTTAGATTGAGGTTGGTTTTTGGCAGAACCTCCATTTCTATCAATGGGACTGATTGATCTGCGCTCTGTTTTCACAGTTTTGATTCCATCTTCTACGGCACTTCTAGACGACACTGCATTAGTTTGACCCCGAAGGCGAGCCAATTTAGATTCAGAATCTTGCAACCTTTTTTCTGCTTCGTCAAGCTGTAAATATTTCCCAAAAACCAATTATCCATGCAAATATTAAGAATAGGGTACTGGTTATAGGTTTGACAAAATACAGCAAAAACAAAGACATGAAAATTTATCAGAGAAACACCAACCAACAACTAGGAAAAAGACACCACATTAAAGATAGGTACCTATGAAGAACAGACACCTCTTGTGATCGAAGTTTTGTAGTGTCAGACACATGTCGGGCACCAACACTTACTCTACACATGTCGTACACCCTTAATCAGGTGCCCAATTAAAACAAAATTGTTAGCTTGGACACTTAAGCCGACACCTCTACACAACTTAGACACTTGAGCCGATACCCTCATATGGATGGACACACTAATATTATTACAAAAACAATCATTTTTTAACTTTGAGATAGTTGGTTACTCAGTTTAAAATATAATACAAAATATTAAAAAAATAATGTATCTAACTTTTTTAGGCTTGTTATCATAGAAAAAAACATAGAAAGGTTGGCTTAAAAAATGAAAGTACCATCAATTTAGATATTTTGTTCTGTTACTCATACTTCATTTTATTACAGTTACTCTCTTTGTGCAAGCGTATTTTGTGTCCGAGTGTCCTATGTTTTAGACATTAGTGGTGTCAGTGTTGTGTCCGTGTCTGTTTCAAAGCCCATGCTTTATAGATAGGTACCATCCTATGAATAATGAAACTCATCAAGGTTCATAACTAGAGTTTCAATGCAGATTACAGTGAATTGAGTGAAAAAGGGAAACAAAATACAATCTCTAAAACAAAATGGAAAACAAATATGCAATGCAACCACATTGATCATTATGAGCAAGCGATAGAGTTCATGTCATTAAACAACTGTTGAGAAAGCAAATGCAGCTTCTTTGGTGATTAATATGAAAGAAAAAAAAATTGGAAACCCGCCACATAATTATATTGACCTCTCAGAAACAAAATTAAAAAGGTTCATCTCCCATGAGGTACATAATACTATACATGTCTGAACTTAAATGAACTTCATCTAACAGAGAAAAACACCTAGATTTAAAGAAAGCAAACAAAAATCATTTTTTCCACTTTTCTCCCCTTTAAAAATGCTAAAAATCAATTTGTTCTATCAATTTTGAATTAAACGAATTTAATATCCAGTACATTGGACATAAACAACGACGACAAAACTAGTAAAACTTGAACCAAAGAATAGAAACACGCTATAACACTTGGTAGTTATAACACGGACAATAAACCTAAAAACCAAAGCGTAACACTGAAAGGTGAACACTAGTATTAGCGCGAAGTGACGAAACGACAGAATATAAAAGAGAAAACGACAAGGAAGGGAAATCGAGAGGGTTAAAGGGGGAAAAACCTGGGTTTTGTAATAGGCGATGCGGTGACGGAGGTTGTTGACTTCGCGGGTTCGGTGTTCGATCAAAGCAACCAATGCCTCCTCTTGTTCCTCCCTGGTAGTGGTGCCTCCGTTCTCTTCGTTTGGTTCCATTCAAACATCACCTCGTACTTTCGGATTTTGTAAGAATCGGAAACTGCGATTGTGTTGTGTTGTGTTGTGTTGTTTGTGTGTTCGCGGTTGTGGTTGTTGTTGTTGTTGTTGTTGAGGCGCAAGGAGGGACCGCTAGGAGTCTTTTACTCTGTTTAATGTTTTTTCTTTGGGAGTTTATTTAAGTTTTTCCTCTGTTCAATTGAGATTTCAAACATTTTTTTAACGTAAATAAATCTGGTACATTTTGAAAGGCATCGAAAAAATGTAATGATTTTTTAACAGACTTTTATAATTATAATTTTTTAATTTCAACTTTAATAAAGTTATATAATGGAAATTTATAAAATTTACAAGAATTTTATAGATTTATAACACTAATATTTTAGTATGTATGTTTATTATAATTAAAATTTATAACATTATATAAAGGAGATACAAACGTTTGTAACTACCATTCGGTCTCTACTTTTACTATGATTTTTTTATCCTTAATAATATTACATATTAAATAATTAATACAAGTAATTATGTCATTTTATTTAAGTAATTACTCACTTTTATTTCTTTTAACCACATATTATTTAAGTAATTGCACTCATTGTTCGTACTTTCACATTCCTCTTTTTCTTGCTTCCTCTCTTTTTTGTTAAAGTGACTTCATAGCCCTGCATAATATATCCTCTATTTCATGGTACATCCTTTCTCATGGCAGTCGAGATTCGAGAGAAAGGAAAATTTTCATCCCCCACCAGCCACTTTATTTCATTATTTTCTTCTCGCAACAAACTCCTCACACCTTTCTTCTTCTTTTTATTCTCTCTATCATATCTTGTTATCGTCTTTGTCTCTTTGTTTTTCCTTCAAACCTTTCTACTTTTTTTTTATTTTTCAATCCACTTAAATTGCCCACAATAAACATTTCACCAATTGTATACATTACGACCATCATTGTTCGTTGGTTTTGACGTAGAATGAGTACGAATAGATGGGATAACAACATGGGAAGGATTTCAAGGATTGGCAGTTTCACAATTGCGTCTAAGGATTGAGACTTTCTCTCTTTCGCTCAGATTCCTCAGCCATGTTTTTTCAGGTCGATTCTCTTTTCTCAATTCTATTTTCTCACGCTCATTAAAAAAATTCTACATTAAATTATGTAAATTTAGTCATTTTTTACCATGATTTTTTTGCATTATTTTTACAGTAAATTTAAATTTATTCAACTTTTTAAAAATTCAAATTTAAGATATCTCTATTTTCCAAATTCATTTTTTTCCTTTTAAATTATAAAAATTCATTTTTAAACTTATTATCTTGATAGATTTAAAATTTTAAATATATAATCATATTTTATTAAAAATTTGAATTTAAAATATGCATAATTTTGAATTTTGAATTTTATTTAATTTTTAATAGTTTTAAAATTACAAAAAATAATTTTTTAAAACTTATAAATATTTGGTCTCCACTTTCTTTTATCCAATTTTACCCCTTATTATTATTGATGTTGATGGTTACTTTCTTTCAAAATAATAACCGTAAGGTGGTTACTTTCTTTCAAAATAATAACCATACGGTGGTTACTTTCTTTCAAAATAATAATCACACAAATAGTCGTCGTTAAGTATGTTATTTTCAAAAAAATTATAAACCAAATCCATTATCACTCTATTATAAGTCCCAATCCAACGTTTTGTAAGAAAGTGTTTTTTTTCTTTCACCAAAATTTTCATTCAACGCTATCACCAAATCACACAATTATCGTATCTAACTGGGTTGCACATGATTCTTCTACAACATCACTCCCTATACTTTCAAGCAAGAAATAAAACATAATTTTTGTCCTAAAAAAAGTCAAAACACGTTGTTGAAATTGACTAACCGCTTGAATCCTGGTTCCATGACTCATTGCCAATGATATACATCAATGTCTTCCATATTGTGTTTTGATCGATGAAGGCCATTAGTACCTTTGATCTTATGCTTTCCCATTCATAGTTTCTAGGTTAGTATTCTTTTATAACTTTTATCTATAACTTATATAACTTAAGATTTTACCCTTATTGATGATTACTTTCTTTTAAAATAATAACTACACAATATTTCTATAATTTTATCCATTTTTATCTTCTCGCTCTTAGAAATTTTCTCTACCTACTTTGTACAATTTTTTTCCATTCTCCCTCTCTACATTTTTCTCATCCCAATCAATTCTCAACTTTCGCTTTATTCCAAACTCATCCCCACTCTATCCTGGTATGAATCACATTTGCAAGCAAGTTGTATTATATTTTAAGTCATCTTCTTTAATGTTGGATATAGTGACACATGGTGTAGAAGAATAATACTCTGACCCCAATAAAGACACCATTAAGAAGCATGATTGTGGTTATGATGATTAGTACACTCTTGATGATCATGACTTACATGAGGATGAAGAAATGACTTAAGACTCACAAGTCCATCAAACAAAAAAGGAGTGTAATTTTGTTTTTCTTTTCTCAATGATGACATCGTATCAATGCTATTAGTTACACAAAAATGACATGTAACATGACTACAAGTTATTCGATTTAAAAGTTTTAAAATTTAAAAAGACATAAATAAATTTAACTATATTTGGAGGACATCTTTTGCATTGAATTCATTTCAAGTTTAGTCAATAGAAAATTTAAATGTATTTTTCTTTCATTTTATGTTTAATCAATTTTTTAAATGTCCATATTTAAAATATGTTTGTTTCTTATTTTGATTTTTATTTTCTAAGTTATAGATTTAATATTATAAAATTTTATTTGAAAACTTATTATTTTAATATATTTAAAAACTTAAATATATTTATAAATATCTAATATAATTTTAGTAGATATTATATATTAAAAAATGTTACAATTCAACCATGAAACATAAAATTTGATTTATGTTACCCAAATAATATATCACTATGTTTGATTGAACTTAAATGTGTATCTTAAATTTATTCTATTTTTTTCAATAAAATTGAGTTTACTAAATTAAATATGTTTCTCAACTTTAATCATTTTTTTCCATGAAATTATGTTAGTTTCAAAAGTTATGTTTTTAATATCACATATTTATTTTGTAGTGTTTAACTCTGTTGTATTAACTAAAATTTGGAAAATGGTGAAAAAATAATTGTTATCTAAAAAATTAGAAAGGTAATATAATAATATGGTTGTGAAAATATTTTTTATGTGTCAATTTAATATATATAAAAATATAATTTTAACATTTCTTCATTTAAATCAATTCTAACTCATATTTTTCTCAATATTAAGACACTTGAAAATGCAAGATTGAGTAATACCTATTATATTGACAACTTTCATGCAAAATAAAATATCTCTATTTTTTAGGTTATGGTTATTTCTTTCATAAAATAAAATAAATTACATGAAATTTTAAATATCTCATATTGATACATGACATTGTATTATTTATTTTTGTAGCTTTTTAAAGTCAAAGAAATTATGGATGATGTATTATATAAAGAATTGAAATTTATTATTGAAAAGTATGACATTATTCAATTTAATTATTTATTAATTCTGATATATGTTTTAGTTATGTTAATTTTAACTAAAAGTAATAGCAGAGTGACATTTAATTTCTATCATAAATTGCAAGGAACATAAAAATCGTCATGAAGTGGAATCTTTATTTGGTATTCCTATTAAGAAAATTTTATGATAGTAAAACATCATATTGTGTAAAATTATTTATATAATTATATGCCAACAAATGAATTCATTCCATATATGAGTTATTTTAAATTTTAAGATAATACATATATAGAGGCACGAAGTGCCTCGGCCCCACTAGTTTATAATAAATTATATATGAAAAATAATATTTGAATATATAAATGGTATTTAAAATAAATATATATACATAAATATTTTTAAATATATAAATTATATTTTAAATTTATGATAAATAATTTATATTATAAAAAATATTTTTTATTTATTGATAATTTATTTTAAAATATTAATATTTAATTAATAAATAAGTATAATAGATAAAAAATTAAATTAGATAAAAAGTTAAAAAAATCCATACAAATTAAAATTCCTAAAAAATACTATCACAAAATAATTAGATAAAGATCCACATTTAACTTGTAGAATTTAATTTCTCAAACACCGTGAATTTAAGAGACAACTAATTAATGTTATAAGAATTAATAGAAAAATACCATAAAGTTCAATCTAAAAATTGATAAAGTTTAAATAAAAAAAATAAAATTAATTAAAAAATTAATTTTTTAACAGATAACTAAATTTTAGTAGGTAAAATATATGACAATTATTTACTTTATATAATTATTAAATTTCTCTATATTTGTAATTCTATATCTTTTTTTTATTAAGAAGAGAGTTTAAAAGTTCAACAATAAACTATAATACACGAGGAGGAAAAAAAATAGTAGATTTATCAGCTAATAAAAAAAAATGCGTCTAACTTGATGGAGAGTTAAAACAATGCACTCCCTCAAGAAGAATTAACCCTAACTTAGCAAAACTATCAGCTACTTGATTTGCTTATTGGAGAACATGAACACAATCTAATTCAAAAGAATTCCATGACATCCTGACAATCTGGTTGAGAAGAGAGTAATATGGATGTATTCGAGGACACTCATCATTCAATAATTGAACAATAATAGAGGAGTCAAATTTTATTATAATATGATAATGTAATCCATAGTCCATGAAAAATAGCCCAAAGCTCGGCTTGTACAACAAAGCAACTCCCAATCATTATAAAAAATGCTAGTATATGAAGGTTTCATTACTGTCTCTCAATACACCAACCACAAGAAGCCAAAGAGTTATTAGAAACAGTTTCATCACAGTTAAGTTTCAGTATACCGAGAGGATGTGGGACCCATCTGATTACTGACTTGTATGAATTGTTTTGAGATGAAACATTAGGTTGCCTATACAATGTTTTTGTTAAAACTTGTATGCAACCTTTGGTCTCGCAAGCTACTTGAGTAGGACTAACATCCGTCTAGCAAAATATTAAATTATTACGGGCCTTCCAAATGGAGTCTGGTGATAACAAACAATTGGGACCATTCGAGATTGGAAGCATTTAGATTGGACAATAACCAATCATTTAAAGGAGAGAGAAAAAATCCTTGATCTACGTTATGGGTCATTATTTCACTCCATATACTTTTTGAAAAAGTGTAATCTCTTACTGCATGTAAACATGTTTCGTAACCTGCATGGCAGAGTGTGCAAGTTGCAACTGTAGTTATAAAACATGAATTTTTCCAATCATTTGTGCAAAGATTATTGGGTGCAATTCTCCACAAAAGACATCTGATTCTTTCAGGGCCAATCAATTCCAAATTAAATTAAAAAAACATTGTGACTCTGTAGAAGGTGAGGCTCTTAAGAATTCATATGCAGCTTTAATAAAAAAATTTCTAGTCCTAGAACCACCCCAAAATATACAATCTTCATCATTTTCAGGAGAAGGGGGTGTCAAACCTTGTATCTCTCGCCAATGTTGACTAGGAATGTATGAGTGCACCTCATCAAGCTTTCAGTTCCCGTTCGCATCAACTAAATCAGCAACTTTTCTACACTATATCTCCATCGATACTGTCTGAATAGCCACCTCACTAAGAGCCATGTTGGATGGAAGGCAGCGATCAAACCAAAATGTGGTAGATTTACCATTTCCTATGTTCCATGCTATATTATGCACAACCTTGTCTCACACTTCACAAATTCATCTCCAAAGGTTAGACATTGTTGGTTTCTTATGGATCACCGGAATAATATCTTCTCCATACACATATTTAGACCACACCACCTGAATCCAAAGCTTATTAGGTTGGGAACATAGAGCCCAACAATTCTTCATCATAAACGATAGATTAACCTTACGTGCCTCCCTTAAACCTAAACCTCCACCATCTTTAGGTTTACAAAGAGTTTTCCATGCAAGAGCATGGTTACATCGATTGTGGTCATCCTCCCCCCCAAATGAAAGATCTACTAGACTTATAAAGGAGGAAAAAAATAAGAGTCAAGAGATGATTTATGTAAAAATAACTTAACTCCCATGTAACTTCTCCTAACCCCTCCTTTTCAATTAATAAATTAAAAAAAATAATAAAATAAAATTTAATAAATGTCCAAGATGCCTTTCCTTCCCTCTTATAAAACAATTAATATAATTAAAATACAACTTTCACTTTTAATCAAATAATATAAGCATCATAAGATAAAATACATTTCATAATACTAATTAAAATTATAAATCCTGAAATTATGTCTCCGCTTAAAAATATAATTTATATAACAAGTTAAATAGTATCCAAAACTCTAAATAAATACATTAAATATCAAAATAATTTCTAAAATATAATTTATGAAATCTGGTTGAGTCATGCTCAATGTGGGTCATGCTCAACATGAGGGTCATAAACAATCGTACTAGCTCTTTGCCACCACCTTAACGCTTAGCATCAAAACTGGCTGGTATTTTCGTATTTAGCATCCAAATCATTAATCTTCATACAATCGGTAAAAGTGTTCTAAATCATGCAACAAACATTAAAAACTGTACAATTTACTCAAACAATTACATCTTCAAACAATCCTCTCATACAACCAGTGGCGGAACTTCAATAAAAACTTTGGGGGTGCCAAATTAATTTTTTTTTATATATAAATTTTTTTATTAATTAAAAAATAACAATTTTTTATTTTCTCTATTCAAAATAAACATGCATGATAATAAAATTAAAAAAAATTATTATTTACTAAACATTTTATAAAATAATTATAAAATGAATATATATATATATATATAAATATATAAAAAAAATATTTTAAAAAAAGTTTGGGGGAGCCGTGGCTCCCCCCTGTCCCTTAAAAGGTCCGCCACTGGGTATTACCTTATCTTTTCTTTCTATCCTCCCCGTTTCTATGAAATATATATAACAAATAAACTAGTGTATTTCCTTGGAATGGACTCATATAAGTGAAAACTCTTCTTATTGATAAATGAAAATTATAAATTTTAGTCATATAATTTTATATGGATGATCAAGATCAAAACATAGTTACCGGTGACATAATCCCTTTAAAAGATTGTGTACATTTTCTTTTAATTTGAGCAGTTAAATATATAATTTAATAGTATATCATAGTAAAAAAAATTCTCATTCGATATGTTTCTAAATATGATAATCCTCAACTTTAAGAAAATTATAGATTGAGTTATAAGGGAAGGGTATATTAATCTTTTAAATATGATAAATATTAATAATCAAGTGTATTTTTTTGCAAATATCTCTCTGCATTAAAATACATGTAACGCATATAGACTAACAGCAAAAATGATTTATATCCATAAATGTGTTGTTCTTACATATATGATGGTGATGAATAAAATAAAAAAATTACTTTTATTTATAAATATTTAGTGTAAATAAAACTTATAAATATTTGGTGTGGGTAAAACTTAAGTTTGTACTTATAGTTGTTTATTGTAAAACTTATAACATTACTGTAATAAAACTTGTACAATGAATGAATGTATCTTCTTGTAGAAACAAAAAGTTAAAGATTAGACCTAAAAAAAAGGGTTAAAAAGTGAAACGGGTATGCATTGTTGTGGGTATAGAACGAAATATGAAAGAAATATAGAATAGTACTGATTAACAAACCTCAAGAATGTCCCCAATATTGACAATAAGAGCATCTGATTTGATGTTGACTGGAATCCAAATGCCATCTTTCTTAATCTGTAGGCCATGCACTCCATTGACTTGGTTGAGAAAGGTGATTCCTGTTGCATCTGAATGAGCAGTGAATCCCATTACCCTCTGTGGTTGAGGGCATGGAGGATAGTATGTCATCCTCACTGATTGCATCCCATCCTCAAACAGCTCATCCCACTCTCTCTTTTCCACCTTCAGGGCTTTTCCCAACAGTCCAACAAATGTCATAGCAAGGTTTTGCAACTCCACCATGTACAATTCCAAGATACTTCTGCATAAGCATGTTGAAGTAATCGATACATATTTATTGCTTTACATAAAAAAGATAGTGTTAGGATTGTCTTTAAATATTAATAAATATAAACCTTGTGAGTTCCATTCACTGTTAACAATTTATATTGATGGTATGTATTAAATTTGGGTATCGTGGCCCTAAGAATCAATTAAGGAATCGGTTAATTATGAATTGTTGATTATATGTATTCGGTTTTGGTTTCACTAACTAGTGTGCTTAAGACACTACTTACAGAATTAATAAAATAAAAAACTTGAATGTACTTTTATTCTTAATGTATATAACGATTGTATAATTTTAATCTTTCAAGTATGACAGCTATATAATCTTAGTTCTTCAATTTTTAACTAAACAATTTTAGTTTCTCATGTATCATGTACGATTTTAGTTTTTCAAGTATTATAATTATATAAATTTCGACTTATTTAAATTATATATTAATAATTTTAGTAATAATAGATACATCGATTTTCAATGCACTAATAAAAATTATAATATAGTTTAAATAGATAAAAAATTATATAATTGTGATACTTAAGGGATTAAAATTGTACAATTATAATACTTGAGAACTAAAATTACTTAATTAAAATATGGAGAACCAAAATTGAACAATTACAATACTTGAAAGACTAAAATTAATCAATTAGAATCTTACGGATTAAAATCACACAATTGTAATGTTAGAGGGATTAAAAATGCAATTAAACCTAAATAAATTTTTTATACTTTTTTTATTTCATAATAAGTTTTGCATTATAAGAAAAAATAAGTGTTATATTAGTTTTTTAATATTCTATTAATTACTTGTTTTTATACCATGATAATATTTTATAAAAGGTATTTTTTGTGTTGCATTTAGTGAAAAAAATTAATTATAAGATTAATTTTGTAATTTTTTTTTTATCTTTTTATAATTTTTTATTTGAATAAAATGACTTTAAATAATATTTATTATGTGAGATAGATTTTTCTGACTGATGCCCTAAAGACAATGGTTAGTGTTCCTACCGTAAGTTTGCTGTCATCGTTAGGATCATCGCATCCGATGTATTGTCCGTTTTGACTCGTTAGGCCGTCACGATTTTGTCCTACCTCGGATGCGGTGACCCTAACGATGACAGTGGACTTACGGTAGAAACATTGGCGTTAGAAGAAGGGCCCAGACCACTCTTGCCTCTTAGCATCGACTGGGAGGCTTGTTCCGGTATGCCTAAAAGTCTCACATCGCTTAGGAGTCGATGCTAAGGGTAGTTTATAAACACCCTTCCTCCTTAACCCACCAAGACACCTTTTAAAGGATAAATTCGTGACAGCCTAACGAGGCAAAACGGACAATACCTCGGATGCGGTGACCCTAACGATGACAGCAGACTTACGATAGGAACTGTAAGTATTTTTTAACAAATTTTCCCAACGAATTTAATTAAACTATTCATTATATTATTAGTATAAACTCATAATATTAACGCATACTAGTGAAAAAGCTTATTAACACCTGATGTAATACATTTAGGTCTTGTTTAAATAATTTTCTTTATAGGTATTAAAAAAAAAGTTTTTTATTGATTTTTTTTTCTCATACTATTTATTCAAAAGATAGTTTTTAATCAATATCGTAAGTTAATTTTAATTTATGAAAAAATATTTTATTTTCTTTCTCTTGTAATTGCTTACAAGAAATTTATGTGAAAAATTATTTTATAATTTTATTTTGGTAGTAATTGTTTCATCTTTGACAAGTGAATGGATGAGAGAAGTTAGAATTGAGAGAGCATATACATATATATACATACCTAAGTGATGAAGGGAGCTCTGGGAAAAGATGTGGTTTTCTTCTGCTAAGAGGGTTGGTTATCATATATAACCTATCACCCCAATCAAGTTTTTGATCCTCTGATCTAATCACTGCTCCGTAGCCTTCAACATCACCTGCCCTTATTTTGTACTTCATCTTTTCTTCCAAGGGCAGCCTGAAGAATTCTTCAATCTCATCTTTCAGCGTTTCCAGCATCAAAGGGCTGATTCCATGCTCTACCAACTGCAAAAAGTACATATAAATTAATTCAGGAGAAAGCCAAAAAAGGAGTAGAAAGTTTATTTAGATAATTTTTTTCATAATCATTTATAAAAGAGAAAAATAAATTAAAATAAAATTTCCCAAAGTTTAAACTAACTTAACTTATATATGAATTAAAATTAAGATTTTGAAGAAATTAACATAATAGAATTTTTATAAATAAATTTATGTATAAGTTAATTATAATTTATAAAGAATTTTTTTCATTTTGTTTCATTTTATTTTTCTCTTCTACAAGTGTTTACGGAAAAAAATTTCTCAAACAGGCCAGAATGATTAACATAAGTGTAAAAGCTACCACTAGCAAACCTGAAAGAAACCCCAGTTCCTACAAGCTGAGTTCAATTTCTCTTGTTCATGAGTTTCTCCATGAATCAATTTTTTGAGGCTTATGGTTGGGATTACATGAGAGAGGGTTTGATGTTGAAGTAAAGGTGAAGAAGGTTGAGTGATATAGCGTTGAGGAACCGAAGTGAGGGGTTTCTTTATCAGCTCTTGCACACTCAAAACTGCTTCAGAGGATGACATGGTTCTTATTCTAAGCACACCTTATACCAATTGTACTCCTCGGAATTTATAGGCCCAGCAGTTTAAAATTTGGAGATAATATTAATTCATGGATATTAATCCGATGTATTTTCGTTTTTACTCTTACGTACCTTTTCATAAATAATTAAGTCTCTTGCTATACCACTTCATTTAGGAACCCCAATATGATGGCATGCTGATGCTGTAGATGGCGTCTGATGATTATTTGAGAAAATTAAAAGTTATTTTGAAATTATTAACCACTATGCTAACTATCTCACTTTAACACACTTACAATTTCATTCAATCAGCTTGCTGAAGCACCATATATATATATATATATATATATTTATGACGTACATACAAATTTATTTTTATAACTATATTATTGATTTAAAATATTTACATATATCAATATATTTTGAGTAAGATATTTTTTTATCATTTCCTTCACCAACAGTACTACAACTCAAAATATTATTTAAGAAGGTCGAGTATAATTAACTATTTGTTAACGTACTTATTTAATATACAGCTACTTCTATATGTTAAAAAAAAACGACTTCTATCATAATTACTATCGGTGAAAAAATGCATTAGGGATTTAATTTTTTTAAAAATAATTAGTATTTTAGTTTGTATAATGTATATAAGAAATATTTGTTTTTATATAGTTAAAAATTTATATTAAATAAATAGTTTTAATGAGAATGATAATAATTTTTAAAAATATTTTCATTAAGAAAAAAAATTAAAATAAAAGATATTTTTGTTGAATAATATTTCTTAAAGATATTTTCTGTTTATGATAAGAATTCAAATTTATAATATAAGAATGAATTCTAGTAATAAATAATTATGTTTAATAAAAAATGTCAAAATAATATTTTTAAAATAACTATATAAAAAATTTTAAAATAAAAACATAATCAAAAACATCTTTAATATTTTTATTTTGTTTTTTTCTCCTTTATTTTTATAAAAATAAATATTACATCTATTTTATTTTTATAAAAATAAATTATAGTATAAAGTTTATTATAACTTATTTCTTATAATAAAAAAAACATCACAAGGAGTAATAAATTAGTGATGATCACCGAATGCCTTTGCCTACAAGTATAAATTTTCCGTCTTCATTTTTTTTTTTAATTCTAACGTAATTTGTCTTCTACATTTCTCCAACTTTTTTAAACTCACAAAGTGATGGCAATACCGCAGACTCAACAAATTGACATCGATCTATCCTGAATAAGAGAAATACATGTTTGCTTATGTAAGAGAAAGAGACAAAGAAAAATAAGTTATAAAAATATATTTCCAAAATACATATCACAATTGATTCAAAAATCAAGTATCTAAATCATCCGAGACGTGTAAATCAACTTACATGAGGACGAGGTTGTTTCAAACTTAAAAGTGATAATAAGTTCAAATTTTAAATATAAAATTTCATTAAATGTTTAAAGAGATGTTACTCATAATGATTTTATCTTAAATAAAATTGTCTCCACTTATTTTTTGTAAAAAAAAAATAGAATCTTATATAAAATGTAAAAACTAATTATTCACTCCTATGTGTATATCACACATTAAATAAAGATATAAGTTATTATAAACTTTAAATAGTCTTTATCTTGCAATTGAATTTTATGGGATTGATTTATCTTGTTATAAACTTAAATTTTATGTTGTATTAAAAGTGATAAAGTAGTTCAATTCAACTCACCTATTTATTGGACCTAACTTGCCAATATGTTGTGTTGAAGGTAGGTTGAACGAATCAATTTGTCTAATCTAGCTACCCTGTTTTATTTAAAGTGTATTTAAACAGTTTTATATTTTTATATATGAAGAAAGTGATAAATTAATATGAGTTGGTATTTCTTATAACGTTTATCTACTTTCCTTTTTTTGTAATTTTTTTAGTAAGTTTTAGTTAATAAGTCAACCTGTCATTCTATTTTTTTGATAAGTGAACGTATCATTTCACATCTAAATGAAGTGAATTATGTGCTTTTTCTAACATATTTTCATCAATAGTCAATTTGTCTAAGTTTAGATAAAATCAATTGAAAATGTGTTAAGATATGGTAAATTGATCTACCTTATCGTATTTATTTAACATGGTATAAAAGTTTATCTTAAATTCGTCATTAAGTTATCCATACTTGTTTATGCTCTAGATTTTCATTTTTTTTCTTTAAAAGTGTTGTTGCTAAGTCATTAACATTTGCATAAATCCATGGGTTTGACATGAAAAAATATGTTAATATTTTTCATTGACTATGTGTTTGTGACTCTCACAAAGAGGATAGAATAACACTCACTAAGGTTTTCAACCTTAGTTTTACAAGAATGTGTTTAGAGTGTATGTAACTCTCATAGAGAGGATAAAGTGATTTCTACACTCACTAAGAGAAACTATCTTAGTTTCACACAAATATTAAACTTTGCACAAGAAAAGTGGTGAGATTGTTTTGACGCTTGTTTTGCTTATTGCATGTTTCTTCTCTTCTCTCTTTCTTCTCTAGTCAGATAATTGATATTTATAGCCTTGTGATAAATCTGCCCATTGTTTGAATTTGAATGTGTCAGTTGAGGCAAAGCTTTTCGTTAGTGCAAATAAACGTTCGTTCATGGCTACACATATCTTTTTCATTTAATGCATTTGATTTTGCATTAAATTCTTTGCTTTCTCAATCTGTGTTGCGTGATGTCCTTTGCATAATTTTTTCCTTTTTTTCTATGACTTCAATCATGACTAGGTATGTTTGTCCATTTTCCATCATTGTAGCTGCAGAGGGGTTTCCTTTTTCTGAAAAGTAGTTGTACTTGACCTGACACACACAGCTTTGACTTGTGGATTCGTTCTCTTGCATTTTTCATATCTCTTTTCATATCTTTGATAAATCTGTGTGCTTTTCTTATGAATAGAGATGATATATGATCTTCTTCGTTGTGACTAGTGGCCTCCAGAAGATTTTTCACAATGCTTTCTCTGTGTAATCCTCTCACCCCTCTTAACTTACTACCACTCCCTAATACTACTTCTTTGTTTCACAAAGAAGGAGTATCAAGGGATGATTTTATAAAGAAATATCGTGAGAAGGTCAAGAGCTAAATTGAGAAACAAACCCAAAAATATGCCAAATATAACAACAAAGGGAGGAAAAAGGTGACTTTTGAAGTTGGGGATTAGGTTTGCCTTCATTTGAGAAAGGATAGATTCCCTACTCAAAGGATGTCAAAACTCAACCCTAGGGGAGATTGACCTTTCCAAGTTCTCCAAAAAATTAATGACAATGCATACATTTTCTATCTTCCCTCTGACTATGGTGTTAATTCCTCGTTTAATGTTTGTGATCTTGCACCTTTTCTAAAAACTAATAACATGGATGAGCTTAAAGATTTGAGGTCAAATCCTTCTCAAGAAGGAGGGGATGATGGAGGGCCACCCTTAGAGCTTCATGTTGGACCCATTACTAGGTCCATGGCTAGGAGAATGGAGGAAGATGAAGGAGATACCATGCCTAGAGCCATACTCATCATGAGTGTGAAGTATTGATCCATCTCCTAGGCCCATTTTGACTAGTATAAGATTTTCTTGCTTTATTTCCTTTTTTACCCTTGGATTTTGGGGATACTTTAGGTAATAGGATTTTATTATGTATTTTCATTTAGCCTTTGTATTATGGGGCAAATTAGCTTAGGATTTATTTTAGGGCTTAAACCTTGACTTGTTAGGTCAAAGTCCACTTTTTTCTATTTTTAGGTCAAAGGGTATTTTGGTCTTTTAGGAGGAAGGAACCCATGCATCATCTAGAATTATAATATATAACTTAAATAGACCAATAATAATATAATTTTAAAATATTAAAATTAAATATTTCATAAAATATTAATAAATTAATAATATTATTAATATTAATTTATCCATTATATTATTAATACTGATAATCAAAGTTTTTAAAATTAAACTAGTCATTAAATGAGTCAAAATATTAATTTAAGGTTATAATAGTTTAATGTTCAAATCAAATATATATAAACCCCAAGCGTGTGGTTTAGGTTCAGCGGTAGGGGTTGATCCATGCTTAAGCAAGGTCAGGGGTTCGAATCCTGCCTTGTGTATGCAGCTGCGTTAAATCTTGGGGCCAGTTATCCCACCCTTTGAGGTGCCTTCAGAATCCTGCCTTGTGTATGCAGCTGCGTTAAATCTTGGGGTCAGCTATCCCACCCTTTGAGGTGCCTTCAGCGTAGCGAGGAGATTAGTCACTGCTGTCGGTGGTGGATACTCCAGGGACGAACCAAAAAAAAATCAAATATATATTAATATTTTTATTAATAATAACAAATTTATATTCATTTACTTTAAGAGTAAGTCTTGATAGACTTATTTCATTTAGTAACTCATTATCTATATTAAATTTTAATGATTCAATTATTGAATTAAAAATCCTTTATGAATAGATTAAGTTTAAAAATTTTAAAAATCATATAATATTTTGATATATAGATTCAAATTAACGTACAAAATATTTTTATGAT